GATTTTGTGAAAATAAACAGTTTCAAAGATTTTCTTCAAAAAACTGGCTCAGGACAGTTGATTTCACAGTTTCATGATGTTTTCATTAGAAGCTGATGCTGACACACCTTTACTGGTTCAAGGTACAATCTCAGCCTTTTATGCTCGTAAAAGACGTTTCAGGCCTGGAAGAGGCCAAAGGTGGATTTTATGAAAGTAAAGATAGTTTCAAAGATTTTCTTCAAAAAACTGGCTCAGGACAGTTGATTTCACAGTCTAATGTCATGTTCATGAATATCTGCAGCTTTCAGCACTTTACTGCCTTGAGATTCATTTTCACTTTTTATGCTCTTAAAAGCCGTTTCAGGCAGAGAGGACGCCAAAAGTTGATTTTGTGAAAGTAAACATAGTTTCAAAGATTTTCTTCAAAAAACTGCGTCAGGACAGTTGATTTCACAGTCTAATGTCATGTTCATGAATATCTGCAGCTTTCAGCACTTTGCTGGCTAGAGATGCATTTTCACTTTTTATGCTCTTAAAAGACGTTTCAAGCAGAGAGGAGGCTAAAAGTGGATTTTGTGAAAGTAAACATAGTTTCAAAGATTTTCTTCAAAGAACTGCCTCAGGACAGTTGATTCCAGTTTGATGTCATTCTCATGAATACCTGCAGCTTTCAGCACTTTCCTGGCTAGAGATGCATTTTCACTTTTTATGCTCTTAAGACGTTTCAGGCAGAGAGGAGGCCAAAAGTTGATTTTGTGAGAGTAAACATAGTTTCAAAGATTTTCTTCAAAGAACTGCCTCAGGACAGTTGATTTCACAGTTTGATGTCATTCTCATGAATACCTGCAGCTTTCAGCACTTTCCTGCCTGGAGATGCATTTTCACTTTTAAAGACGTTAAGAGCATAAAAGACGCAGAGAGGAGGCCAAAAGTTGATTTTGTTAAAGTAAACACAGTTTCAAAGATTTTCTTCAAAAAAGTGGATTTTGTGAAAGTAAACATAGTTTCAAAGATTTTCTTCTAAAAAGTGGATTTTGTGAAAGTAAACATAGTTTCAAAGATTTTCTTAAAAAAAAGTGGATTTTGCGAAAGTAAACAGTTTCAAAGATTTTCTTCAAAAAACTGGCTCAGGACAGTTGATTTCACAGTTTCATGATGTTTTCATTTGAAGCTTGATGCTTACACACCTTTACTGGTTTAAGGTACATTCTCAGCCTTTTATGGCCTTAAAATACGTTTTAATCCTGCTGAGCAGGGATTCTAGGCGTCGGGAGCAGCCTAGAAATGAGACGGCCTAGCTACAGAGGACTTCCTGTTCGCCTCACCAACTGTTCCCGCCCCGCCCCCCTCTTGCTGCTCCCGTCACCTAGAATCCCTGCTCAGGAGGATTAACAGTTATAGGATATGTGTATATATATATATATATATCTATATATATATTTATAGTGTATATATATAGATATTTACAGTGTATTTATATAGATATTTATATTGTGTATATATATATATAATCCCTGCTCAGAAGGATTATATATATATACACATAAATAAATTAAACTAAAACCTTTTCAGTATATATACTTTGAAGTTTTTAGTTTAGTGTTTTTAATCATATATTCAATAATTCATTCATAATTCTTTTTCATAGTATTGTTTTTCTAAATTAATAATCAGTTAATTAAATCAGTTACTATGTTAAATAACACATTTTCAGTTATAGTTCTTGCAATTAAAACAATGTATTTATCAATAACTTTATTTTATTTCATTCACACATATATATATATTTACATATACACATATGTATATATTTACATATACAGCATTCCTAAGGCAGAGGAAATCAATCAAGACAGTTAAGCTTGTACAGCTACATGTGAAGATGATAATCATGGACTTGTAATAGCTGTGATACATTTAGACTATATGGAGGCATGTGTCATATTTCATAGGGTGTCTCTATTGGTAGAAACCGCTTACTGTAATGGCCATTTTGTTGCACTGTGTTGCACGAACACGCTCTAGGGTACATCCCAAGTCTCTTAATTGCATCCCCGTTTCCCTCACTTGGGTCCTTTCCTTGCGTCTTAGTCCCTCCCACCAGGGATGCATGGAGGAAACCATGCGAGAGATGAAACAAGGAAATATGTTTTAACAGGTACATGAGACGTCCTTTCCTCAGTTGCGTCACGTGAAGCGACGTCTGTTTCTGATGACAGTGGCTGATGATCACAGCTGGATCAGCTGTCAGTCGGCTTTAACAGCTCTCCAGCTGTTAAAGCCGACTTTAACAGTCTTTAGCAGACTTTTGAGAAGTTTGTGTCTGTTCACATGATCACTGTACTTAATAATATTAACTAATAATACTAATAACTAATAAAGACACACAGTAATCACCACTGTAGAGGTGTTTCTCTCTGTAGTATGTTAACAAACTGTGTCCTGTGTGTTCTGTTTATAAGCTCAGGATCGATTTCTACCGGCAGAATGCGTTCCATTTTATTTATGAATTATTTGCGTTTGTACGTTTTGAAATTCAGATTGTGACGTAAACAACAACAATTAAATAACCCAGAATATGATTATTGTTTCTCTTAAATGATAAAACTCATCAAACCCGACAATCAGGAATGAACAGCCTCACGTGACTGAATGAAATTATGATAAATTATGTAAAAAATGTTTCGTCTCTCAGCTCTCTCTCTCTCTATATATATATATATATAGAGCAGTGACGTGCGGTGAGGTTCGTGGCTGGTGAGGCGCTGACTCGATCTTTCAGAGTCAGATTTACAAATATATGAACTCAATATAGAGTATCTTCAATCACCATTCAATTGGCAGCTTTGCCCATTGACTACTGGTTGTTTTTCATATCAGCATTCTTTACACACATAGGTAAGGTACATATTTGAATGCACCAGGAGTGTGTGTGCCGCGATCTGCGACCTGCCCCACCAACCTGTTTCAGAAGCGGAGCGCTAGCGGGCGCCGTTCGCGAAAATCGCGAGATCCCGTAACAACCACGGATTTATAAAGAGAACAACAAACACATAAAAGTTTACTTTACCTGTCCGCCGTTGAATTGCTGTTGATTTGGTCATATTTCCCTGTTTTTTTCCCTGTTTTTTGAGAATTGTTTATTTAAGATTAAATAATCTTAAATGTTTGCGGTCAAAGCAAAATATAAGAAGAAGAAGAGAAGTGTAGAAGAAGAGTAACGGAACTACAAGCATAAACCCGACCCGTGGGCTCTCACACGACCCCTTCATTTGAGGCAGAGGTACTGTGTGGCTCCCCTCTGCTTTTTCACTGCGGTTTCTGTCAAATCAGCAAGACTAAATATATTCTACACATACGTGAAATACATGACCTATTCTATGGAAAGAAAGGAAATATAATACAAGTGTCAACAAATATTACAGTGGTGACAAACAATTTGAAAGCAAAAGCCACACGCTCAACCCAGTTTGTTAGGGATTGCGCAATCTGAGGTGAGGCAGATCTCATCGCTGCCTCACCTCGCGTGTCTCCTCTCTGTTTGAACAGGACATGCGCAAATTCAGCGATTTTGACTCTAAAAATGCTTAAAATTATTGAAATCATACAGAAATTACATTTATAACACAGATCAGTAGATACATATTATTATTTTTTATTTTATCATTATTTGTTTTTTACTTTTCATGATGACAGGTGAGGCTCTGCCTCCCCTGACCGCATGTCCCTGATATATATATATATATATATATACACACACACATTTATTTAAACCAGATGTTGAATCAGAAAACGAATCAAATATAAAGCTTGAGTTTAATCTGTGATCCGTCTTCACTGTTTACATGTTGAAAAAATCTCATCACTCCAATCGGCTGCAGCATCATCATGACTGATGAACAATGAGGGGGAGTGTCGACCGTTAAAACACTTCCCGGAAGTCTGTTCTCATGGCTCCTCAGAGATCCCTCCTCGATCCTCGCTCCTCAGAGCAGAAACAAGAGCTTTGGGACGGCCAAATGATATGGCGGCGCAGAACAACTTCCGGTTCGAGCGGTGATCGATGAGCGAGGAAATGACAAATAAGAGACTTGGGATGTACCCCTAGTCGCTGGCGCGAGAGGGCCAACTCCATGGCAACAGTCCACCAACAACACTTTTGAGACAGGCTAATATGGCGGAGCCCAGGATGGAAAAACTCAAAGTGTCACCTCACGTTAGAAGAGTTTTTATCAACAACATAGACTCGTACGCGTCCAAATGTATTGCTCAGGTGAATATATTCAATGTGGAGTTAGTCAAGCTGGGAACGTTATCTAGCGTTACATCTAACGCAGCTAATTCAGCAGTTAACGCTAACTTTAACATGGTGTGTAGCCATGTAATTGACGTAGCACACACGTTTGTGGACAACTTTGGCCAGCAGCACTGATTAGTTCACGTATTTGTCTTTCTCTGCAGTGTTTGTCTGAACATGTGGCCGGACAGACGGAGACTGAGGAAGAGGAGAGGGTGAAAACGCGAGCTTTTCACGTTGTAGGAACTGTTTCTGGCAAATATGACGTGGACATTCCATATGTCCTGGAGGAGTATTTAGTAAGTAACAGTTAGGCCTGTCCCTTCTTATAAACTGTGTAAGTCTGTCCACTAGTCACTGCCAATCAGTATTATTGATGATAGAAGTAATAATATGTCATTTTGAAACACAGGGGCGCACAGCGAGATGCAGAACGAAAAACATGACAAAACAGTAGTGCCTTCCTCTAGTGCGTGTTTTTGAATGGGCATCAGGAGGAATGTAAACAACAACTAGAAAATGCATTTCCTGCTGAAAATGCGTTGGAATGCTGAAAGCTGAAATAAATTGCAAAAACATTGCTGAAAATAGATATCCAATTTAAAAAATTGCAAAAAGCTTAATAATTCAAAAGGTTTAAAGATTACTAATATGAAAAGTCATATCACCTCTCTCCTGAAAGAGCTGAACATTTAGATATTCGAACGGTTTCTGTGGCTTAAAAAATTTCATCAGTAGTGATATTTGTAGTAGTAGAAGTTGTAGTTGTAGTAGAAGTATTATTAGTAGTAGAAGTATTAGTAGCATTAGAATAAGTACTAGTAGTAGAAGTAGTGATATTTGTAGTAGTAGTAGTAGTAGTAGAAGTTGTAGTTGTAGTAAAAGTAGTGATATTTGTAGTAGTAGTAGTAGTAGTAATTAGAAGAAGTAGTAGAAGTTGTAGTATTAGTAGTCGTAGTAATAGCTGTAGTATTTAATATAACAGTAGTAGTAGTAGAAGAAGAAGTAGTAGTAGTAGTAATAGTAATGGTAGTAGAAGAAGTAGCAGTAGTAGTCATACTAGTAGCAGTCATACTGATAGCTGTAGTAATATTACTACTGGTAGTAGCATGAATAGCAGTAGTAGTAGTAGCAGTTGTAGTATAAGTAGTAGTAGTAGTAATAGCAGTAGTAGTAGTAATAATATTGATGGTAGCAGTAATAGCAGTAGCAGCAGTAGTAGTAATAGTAATAGTAGCAACAGCCAAAGTTCTAGTAGAAGTAGTAGTAGTAGCAGTAGTAGTAGTAGTAATACTATATTAGCAGCAGCAGTAGTAGTAGTTGTCGCAGTATTAGTAAGAGCATTCATTTTTTCAACAAAAAAACCTAATTTTGAGCTTAATGTTTAAAAACAGTTAATCCATGGGGCTTTTATTTTGAAAGGGTGGGGCTGGGTGGGGGGGGG